CGGGCGGGACCCGTCGCTGCCGTCGGTCGGGAGGCCCGGGCTGCCGTCTTCGCATCGCGGAACTCAACCTCTGTCCGCTCCCACCAGAGCGCGGCCTGGGGCCTGTGCCCTCGGCCCTGGCGCTGGCCAGGCCCCTGCCACAACCACCTCTGTGGACAGCTCCCAGAGGCCAGGGACAGCAGCGTCGGGGGCAGCGGCTGAGTGGACCTGGGGCTCCGCCAAGGCCACATCGAGCTGCCCCAGGGTGCCCGGCACGTGGCTGACCGGGGCCGGGGCATCTAAAGGTCGGGGAGCAGCCTGGTGGCGCGAGTCGGGGCAAGTCAGAGCTGTGCTGTGACCAGCAGGACCCTGAGCCGTGGCCCCTGGAGACCCTCTGGTCCGACAGCGAACCCGGTGAGGGCCGCGGGCCGTGAGGACACACGTGGGAACTGGGGCTGGGGGGAGGCTCCGGGCAGGCAGGGCCGGGGGCCCAGCTCCAGACCCAGAGGGCAGACTGACCAGCGGAGCAGGCCCAAGAAGCAGCAGCCGCGCCCTGCCCAGCCACCGGCCCTTGGGGAGCTGCGGGGCTGCTGGGGTGCAGGCGTCACACGGGCCAGGTCGAGCAGGCACAGGCCGCGTGGTACCGTGACACTGACCCGTTCTGCCGGGCGCTGAAGCTTCACAGGCCGAGGCCGGTCGTGCTGGGGACGCCTGTGGGTTGCTGCTGACACTGAGCAGGACGCGGGGCGGGTGGGGGGCGGGCTGCAGAAAGGAGGCCGAGGACCCAGAGCAGCAGGGCCCGCAGTGGCCTGCCCTCGGGCTCAGTTACAGAGTCCCACCCCCGGAAGAAGGACCTGGCTCAGGTGCGCACCGGTCTACCGAGGCCGTGTCCCTGACCCCAGGGCCCTGTCCTTGTCCTGGCGCAATTGTGTGGTCATGTGGCTGGAGCCACGTCTTGCTGCACTTGGCGTGGAGCAGCGGGAGCGGCCTGGCTGCTGGCGCCACCGCCCCCACTGACGGTCATGCCACCAGGCGGCCCCTCAACCTCCTGCCCCTTGAGCGTGCGCGTGGCATTGCAGCTTTCAGAAGGTGGAGCCCGAGCCACAGTCCCTGATCCTCAGAACGGACTCAAGCCGCAGGGAGGGCAGCAGCGGTGAAGCCTGGCCACCTGTGCATCCGACTGGGGGCAGCGGGCAGGCCCTCGCCACAGGAGCGCACTCAGGAGCAAGCCAGGTCTGCCAGCCAAGGGGCCACACCTGGCTGCCTGACCGGCCCCGATTTCCTGGTCATGCCCCACGGCCCCCTGCCCGGTGCCTCGTGACGCTTACAGCAGAGTGCAGCCAGGAGGGGGATGAGACCCTGGCCACTCTCCAGCCCAGCTGCAGTGGTGCTAGACACGGTCAGCACTTCCAAGCAGGGTTAGACCCCTTGCTGACGGCAAGAGCGGCTCCCCGGGCCACCTGGAAGAGCGGACTGTGGAGTGTGTGGACCACGTGGGCACCAGCGTTGATGCACCGTAGGACTCTCGCTGGGCCCCGATGGGGGGGACAGGTCATGCGGCTGACCGGAGCGGTTGCCACCCTGGGCCAGGACAAGAGCTGCTGAAGAAGCCCCCAGAGGCCAAACACCCAGGGCTGTCACAGGGCAGCACCCGAGGGGCTGGGGCTGTAGCTGCCCTGGACAGGCCCACGGGGATGGCCGCCTGGGCCTCCCCTGACCAAAACTGCAGAGCCCGAGCCAGGACAGCTGCGGGGGACACAGCACGCATGTGCTGTGATGGCGCCCTGACGGTCACCGCCGGTCAGCGGGAGTCTGGACAGCACGGGTCGTGTGACTTCACTGCAGGCCCTCAGAGGGGGGTCAGGACACCCGGGGTCCACGGCTCTGAGCTGTCGGCCACACCAGCAGCAACAGCTGAGTCGCCGGCCGGGCTGGGGCTCCCTTCAGGGGACAGGACAGTGAGTGACCCCGCTCAGGGCCCAGCTCCTCTCCCTGCTGGGCAGTGGGGCGGCTGACCTCCCTCCTCAGAGATCAGGAGCTGCATCTTCCTCTTTGCTCTGCAGCAGGACCCGTCCTCCCTCAGCGAAACTGAGGGGCTTATATCCTGCTCAGGGAGCCCCACCCACACATCTGATTGGACCATTTTTCAATCCTGCTGCTGATTGGACCATGTACCCATCAGCCCACAGCACCTGATTGGTCACCAGTCAGCCCATAGCGTGCACCTGATTGGTCCAGTGCACCATCCAGGAAGTGCACCATACATAAAAGGGCTCTGAGGCGCAACTGCCACAACTGACTGTGGTGAGAGCTGGGTCC